GTAGTTCATTTCTAATTCCACTGAGTAGCTGCCCAGGCTTCAGCTTCAGTGATGCCTGCGGTCATTGGGATTTGAGGGGTCCAGGTCTCGAGAGTGCCGGGCCTTTTTAGGCCTATGGGATTTATCTCGGCTCCTACTTCTACTTCTACTTCTACTTCTACTTCTACGGCTGTGTCCCTCAGAATGCCCCTCGTGACAGCCAGAATGTATGTCTGAGCTTCGACCTCTGTCCCTATCCCTGTTTTTTTCTTCTCTTTCTTCCCTCCTGCTTGAGGACTTGTGCTCGTGCTTGGGCTTCTCCCTCTTCAGCTCCTGCTCATGGTCCTCTACTCCCCTGCGGCAGGTGGTCTTGACCCCAGGGGAGCTGGGGTGGTGCTTCCACACCTCCCTAGACTCTGGCTTCTGACCCCTCTCTGAGTTCTTGCTGCTGTGCTTTTTAGAGCCAGGGTCGTCCTTTTCCCTTATCATCTTGCTTCTAGGAGTTGAAGAGGAGGCTGGCTGCTCTGCCAGTTCCTCCTGATCAGTCTTCTCTTTGTCTTTTTTTCTTTTCTTTTTTTCCTTTTTGTCTTTTTTGTGTTTTTTGGTGGGTTTGTCCTCTTCAGAGCCCTCAGATGAATTTGATGAAGGGGTGTGAGCCCCACAGCCCTTCTCCTGGAGCTCTTTGGTCACAATATCCATTTCTTCTGAGTCCTTAGGAGTCCGATAGTTAGACACATGATCCACTCGGATAGTTCTTCCTTTAATTTTTATCCCATTAAAATTGTCAACAGCCAGAATTGTGCTCCTCTGGTCTTCATAGCAGAGGAAACAGAATCCTTTGGATTTCCCAGTCTTCTTGTCTCGCACCAGATTAATGTTAACGATCTCCCCATATTGTGAGAATACACAGATGATATCTCCTTCAGTCAGTTCATAGGGAAGTCCTCCCAGGAAGATCCAGGCGCTGTCTTTGTACTCGGAATGCCAGGACACTGTATCCGCCACCCCAAGCTGGGCCTCACGCTCATTCAGCTCATTGATCAGCTTCACTTTCGTTAAAGGGTTCATCTTCGTGGTTTTGCACTCAGCACAGAGGCACCCACTACGGGAGAGTCCTATTCGGGCACCAGATGTTGGGGTCCAACTCCAGCAGGTCCAGGGGTCCCCAAAGGTGTGGACGGAGTCGACGAAGAAGGAATGACAAAGAGACAGCGTTCAGTTGATCAGCAGCCTAGCCAGGATCTCTAGCCAGGATCTCCAGCCACGTTCTGTGTTTTATTGTCTTGTTACATCTGGATTTATACCAGTTGATTTTAATCCTGTCAATTTCTAGTCCAAAGGTTAGGGCATTTCTTATCTCCATTCCAGGGAGTAAAGATTATGTAGCTTAAGGGTGATTGTTCATAGTTAAACTGATTAACTACCCGCCAGGCACTTAGTTAAGGGGTTTTATTCCCTCCCTAACTTCAGGGAAAAATGCCCTACCTGGGGAAACAACCTTTTTCAGAGAGGTGACCTTGGTTAAAACACATAGCACCAAGAAAGGGACCAAACATATTAAGAACAGTATGCCATATACGCCAGGATGTGCAGATGTTTCTTCCCTGCAGCGACTGTGTCAAGCAGCAAGGATGGACCGGCTTCCGGCATTGAACTTTTAATTTTATGTGTTTTAGTAATATGTACATAGGCATACATATATATTTAAAGATTAAAGCCAATACTGACAATTGCTACATGGGTGTGTGTCAGTCAGGGTTCAACTGGAGAAATAAAACCAGAATGTGTTTATGGGAAGGCATCAGCTTGTATAATTTTTGTGGATGAAAACACACACACACACACACACACACACACACACACACACACACAGCATGTCCCCAGAAAGAGCAGGCTGGAACTCTAGGGTACATGCTGGAACTGCTGTCCTTGGGCCTAATATTTCTTCCTCAGGGAAACTCAATTCTGCTCTTATGGACTTTGATCCAATTTAATCAGGCCACCCTGGTTATCTAGAATAATCTCCCTTCTCACAGTGAACTGATTATGAACTTTAGTATGCTAGGGAAGGAAAGGTCACCCTGGGGGTGAGGTCCCACCCTACAATTGTCCTTTGCTAGGCACTTGGGGCTTTTCACCCTGGTGACCTTCTGTCCATGGGCCATGGGCCTTGCTCTGCTCATGTCTGTCTAACTGCCTACCACAGGTGTCTGTCTGTATGTGTATATGTATTGTGTGGTAATTTCTATCTCTGAACAACCATGTAACTTTGTAAAGAGCTCTTTAAGTTGGATTTAAAAAGTGAATATATTAGAATTTTTAAAAATATAACAGAGCCCTGGCCGGGCAGTCCAGTTGGCTAGAGCATTGTTTCAATGTGCCAAGGTTGTGGGTTTGAACCCCAGTCAGGGCACATACCAAAATCAGCCAATGAATGCATAAATAAAGGGAATAACAAATCAATGTTTTCCTTTCTCTTTCTCTTCCTTCCTCTCTCTTAAAAACAAATCAATAAATAATGCTTTCAGAGTTGTGTAACCTGGGGAAATGATATTAAAGCTAGCTTAAGTTTGGTTTAGTAAAAGAGGAGTGTCTTTAGAGTAATCAGCATTAAATAATACTTTTATTTTACCTTGGTTTATTAGTCAAATAAGTTCATGTTATCTCTGTTGCAAACTTTGTCAGAAATAAAGATAATTTGGTATGATAAAATTTTTATAAGTAATCTAAACATAATTTTTAAGAGCAAGTAAATTAAGTATATGTAAGTAGGATAAAAAGTTTCTTTGTAAGTGAACTCTTTAGCAATAGTTGTATTTAATTTTAAAATGTTTTTTAAATCTCTTTAGTAACTTAAAACTTTAAAGTTTTGCTAGCCAAATTAAATGATGGATAGTCATTAGATATCAAAATCATTTCCAAATAAGATAAAATAATGAAACATTAATACCTGAACATAGTTTTATCTACTTTTTGCTTGTTATTATAGAAGAACCAAAGATAATTTTGAGTCTATTATAAACATGTTTTGTGCCATATTTTAAAAAATGTGCTATGAAGAAATATCTATTTCTAGAAATTATGAAATGTGTTCATAAGTTTGTCAATATAAAGAATACTGGTGTAACAGACACTTCACATTGCTTACTTCTTAGTCTTCATTAGAAATGAAGGTTTTGAAGGTAAAGAATTCTAGTACATGCAATTGAAGCTATAAAACTTAATAAAATAGGAAAAACAATTGTGCAACTTAAAAATATGATATGTTTGGCTTTTTTGAATGTGAAAGATAATATGATCATATTGAGCAACTAGAGGCCCGGTGCACAAATGCATGCACAGGTGGGGGTCCCTCACCCTGGCTGGCGATCAAGGCCTATGGGGGGCCAGCAGACCGGTAGGAGAGGCTGCAGGAGGTTGGCTGTAGAAGCGCACTGACCACCAGGGCCCAGCTCCTGCATTGAGCATTTGCCCCCTTTTGGTCAGTGTGCGTCATAGCGACTGATCTACTGGTCGTTCCGGTTGTTTGGTCATAAGGGTCGCTTAGGCTTTTATTATATAGATGTCATCCCAATAAAAACAAATGAAAATGAAGTAATAATATTGTCCAGATTATTTCTTTTTAAAAAAAAACAACACGAATATTTACTTGGTTTACCAAAGCTATGCACATTTTATAAAGTAATAATAAAGTAAGAGCTTATAAAAAACGGGAACATTTTAGGTGGGAGCATGCAACTGAAATAGTCTCGTTCTCTGGCAGAGTTCTTCCAAAATGTCATGCCACCGAGAAGTGACCCTTTCCTGCGGCTTTTCCTCAGTTCTGCTCCATAGGCGCGGGGATGTTGGCAGGCGCCTGCTCAAGGTAGGCCAGGGAGCCCTGCGGGAGGTCAGCGGGCCTCTCGTGCTGCCCGTTGATGTCCTCTAGCACCTGCTGCCAATACCGTAGCTTGGTCAGGTGCTTCTGGACCAGGGTGTCTTTCTGCTGCAGCTCGTTCTGCAGTTCCGAGACCTCTTTGATAACCTGCTCTGGCTCCTGGACAGATAACTGCAATCTTTTTTGTAGAAAAAAACATTCTGTTTGTCTTGCAATATCCAAAAATTTCTGGATACACTGATCAACACCAGTTCGAATTTCCTCCTGATCCGTGCCATTGACATAGTCCTGACTCACTAGAGAAGCAAAGCAAGCCTCAAAAGATGACTCCAACTCATCCACCAAGGTACTCGGAGAAGATCTGGGAGCGCCTGGCGTGGCCTGAAGAAGCGAGGCCTGGCCGGGAGGCCTGGCGGCGGGGGCGGAGCACCAAGTGACTGCCTGGAGAACATACCTCCCAGTGGAGCCGCCATTTCTGAAAATCCAAGTTCTGTGTTTTATTGTCTTGTTACATCTGTATTTATACCAGTTGATTTTAATCCTGTCAATTTCTATTCCAAAGGTTAGGGCGTTTCTTATCTCCATTCCAGGGAGTAAAGATTATGTAGCTTAAGCGTGATTGTTCATAGTTAAAGTGATTAACTACCCGCCTGGCATTTAGTTAAGGGGTTTTATTCCCTCCCTAACTTCAGGGAAAAATCCCTACCTGGGGAAACAACCTTTCTCAGGGAGGTGGTCCTGTTTAACACACATAGCACTAAGAGGGGGAGCAAACCATATGCCATATACGCCAGGTCCCTTGAAACATAAGCTGTGCAGATGTTTCTTCCCTGCAGTGACTGTGTCAAGCAGCAAGGGTAGACCGGCTTCCGGCATACTATGACAGATAGGATGGGCTGCTGCAAGCCTTTGGCCATCATATCCAGGTGTTTTTCTTAGTTATTCATCATCCATCTCTATAGCTATACAATATTCATCCAGATTAGATCCATATACAATTCTACCAGTGGAATTATCAGGGAGGTATTTGCCTAAGGTGGATTCCTTTATAATAGATATAGTCAGGAAAAAAAAAATGTACCAAAGCTTACATTGATAATAGGAGAAGACCAATATGTGGCTAACAAAGCATTAATTTCACTATCATACCTGATAGTCAGAACATCATTGTGCAGTAGGTGGGAAAGATGAGCAGGTATCCAAGTTAAATTTTTCATATCTAATAAGGGAGGTCTGGGGAGGCAGATATTGTTTCCACTAGAAAACCATAAGGATAATAATATGAAAGGCATTTCATGTACATTCAATCAATAACAACCAGATGATATAAAAACAAGGTTCAAGCAATATCAGTTTGTGAGCATACAGGCCTTTTTGACAGCAGGATAGCTGTCTGCCTCCATGGTCAGCGACTTCTCGTCCTAGAAAGGTCTCAGCTGTTTCTCGTCCTTGAAAAGTCTTTGATCTCTGCTGCAGATGGAGATGCGTGTCAGAGATGGGAGTAGATGTCCATTCACAGTCAGGTGCCTTTTTTAAAATGAGAAATGTGAATCCATGAGCTAACTCCTTTAAGTTTAGCTGCACATGGGTTAGTTAGTAATACCTGGTAATGTTCCCTCCAAAGAGGTTGGAGAGAGTCTTTTATTTTGGTGTCTCTTCCAATACACCAAATCTCCTGGTTGTAAGCCATGATCTTTGAAATCTTCGTCTCCTGGGAGCGCACTGTGAAATGAATCTGTTACCAATTTGTTAGTTCCTACAATGCAGAATGTCTGCTCTTTACTTTTCCTTATATTTGGGAAACAAAAGATTTAAAAGTCAACAATATTTTAAACAGTCATAAGAATAATTATCCTCAATTCATTTACTCCCATAGTTATTTTTGTTTATCCTGATTATTTGCCAGTAGTGTTTGAATTCAGTTATTCCTTGAAGTTCTATAAATCGTCATCCAGTTCAAAAATATGACCTGCTTTCAAGCCTGCAATTTAGGTTAAGTCAGAGTCCTTTTCATGGATTTTTCTAAACATATAATATACCTACAAATGCATCAGAATAAAGCTGTCCACGAATGACAAAATTTAAAAGTGGCATGGTTATAGATTTGATAAAAACTTTGCTTTTTTATAAAATATAACATTCCAAGAAAACAATTTCTTGGTAAGTAATAACCCCTGTAAAAATAACATAGAGAATATAAAATTTGTATAGCTTTAGATTCAATTATAATTTTAGCATATAAAGAATAAATAATATGTAAGATTTTAAAATGAGGCACGTGGCTTATTACAAGCAGTGTATTCAGCATTGAAAATAATTCATAAACTCCCAACCTGTGAAAAGCAAATACCTAGAGCATCACTGGCAGACACCCCCACAGGGAATCATGACTCTTGGCTTGCCCAGTGTCCCTGATGGGATACATGCTACCCCCCTGAGAGTTTCCTGTTTGAACTTCTGTCCAGCTTATTTCTGAGTAGGTAACAGAACAAGAGACAAACTTTAAAAAAACACTGAAGTTCATATAAATGCTATGAAAAAGGAATCCTGAGAAATAAAATTTATTTGTGGTCAAGTTGAATATGATTGAAATTGATTTAATCAAGTAGGTGAATTTAATATCAAAAGTAAGCTGATGCAAATTTAGAGTTCTGTTCTTTCTCTCTGATAAAAGGACAGTTTTCATGGACTACTAGTCTGCTACTGATAAGTACTGTGAAAAAGTTTTCTAAATAAAAAGCCAAAATTCTGTGTTTTATCAAAATAATTTTCCGTTTCATGTTGTCTTAATTAGGTTCTTGATTATTTAAGAAAACTCAGTCGCCTCATTAGTAAGAACTAAGTTTTGCTGACAATTACATAAACTTCTGTATCTGTTTTTGAAATCTATTATTGTTACTTTTGTTAAATGGGTTTCATAATGATTTATGATCCAATTTAGTCAAATGTCCAAACCTCATATATTTTGACAAACTTCCCAAAATTCAAAGTATGAATAAAGTCTTGACCTGGGAATAACTTTGAGGTATTCCACAAGGCCCCTGGAACACCACAAAAGATGTGTTTTCACTCCTTGCAAAAGGGAAATTTTAAACTAAATAAGCATCTGTGGTATATTAAATTACATGGAAAACATTGCAAAATAAGTGATGAAAAACTTCTAGGGGACACTGTATGGGTAAACAATGGTTATAAATTAAATAAATAGTTTTGGCTACTGGTATAGAAAACCTAAGACAGCTGCTTGATTTTTCCAGATTTTGTGGTAAACCCTCTTCCCCCAGTTTTTGCATTCCTTCATCTGCCATTGCACATTTAAGCTAGATTTCATTTAATTGCCACTAAGTATGGGTTATCAATGTTTTTGTTGTCATATGTATTTTTTTTCTGAGTGGGTTAAAGCATTCCCCTTCCACAGGGTTGATGCCTAACAGTGACTAAGGAACTGTCTGAAAATGTGTTCTCTGCTTAGTGTACACCTTCTACAATCTCTAGTAACCAAGGTACACACTTTACTGAGCAAATTATGCACACCTTGACAGACCTTATAAATTTCTTAGAATTATAACTGACCCTATCACCTGCAATTGTCAGGCTAAGTTGAGAGAACTGATGAAAAAACTGAATATAAGAGGACAAGTTCTAACTGCACAGGACTGAGTGAACTGAGAAGAATATTACAATTTTTGTGACTTTTGTTTGAAATATTGATGGTTCTTTAATTTTATAATTTTCCCAATACTATAAGAAAAAGTTTTTCTTAAGTTAGCCATGACCTTGAGGAATTTGGTAAATTACACTTTTGTAAGCATAATTGAAACAGTTTAAGTGTAAAGTAAGATTATTTGAGATTTTTCTTGTTTCTTGAGGTAGGCCTGTAATGCTATGAATTTTCCTCTTGAGACTGCTTTCGTTATATCCCATAGATTTTGAGTTGTGTTCTCATTTTCATTCGTCCAATGTATCTTTTGATTTTTTCCTTGGTCTCATTTTTAACCCATTCATTGTTTACTAACATGTTATTTAGCCTCCATATTTTTTATTTTTCGGCTTAAAGTTTTGTTCTTAGGATTGATTTCTACTTTCATACTGTTATGGTCAGAGAAGATGCTTTATGAGTTTAATCTTAAATATATTGAGACTTGTTTTTTATTCTATAAATTTTATGTGCACTTGAAGAGAATGCAAATTCTGCTGCTTCTGGGTGAAATGCTCAGAACATACATCTGATCTAATATGTCGTTTCAGGTCACCATTTCCTTGTTGATTTTCCATCTGAAACATCTATCCATTGATGTCCATGGGGTGCTAAAATATCCTGCTATCACTGCATTACTGTCAATCTATCCCTTTATATCAAGATTTTCTTTACATGTTTAGTCAAGTTTGGAAAATTCGTTCTTTGTCTTTTAAAATTGGGTTTTCCTCTATTGATGGTAGGTCTTTTCATAAAAACTAGCTTTGTGGTGTGGCAGTAGGAAGGGAAGGAAGTAGAGACAGGGAGGGAAGAAAGTGCAGCAAGGAAGGAAAAGGGGTGGGGGGGAGTTGTTCCAAGTTAATACAGAAAAAGAAAGGAAGAAAACAGCAGCAAAAATTCTGAGTAGCCCAGCTGGCGTGGTTCAGAGGCTGAGCATCAACCTAGGAACCAGGAGGTCACAGTTCGATTCCCAGTCAGGGCACATGCCCAGGTTGCAGGCTCGATCCCCAGTAGGGGGCATGTAGGAGGCAGCCGATCAATGATTCTCCCCCATCATTGATGGGTCTATCTCTCTCTCTCCCTCTCCTTTCCTCTCTGAAATTAATAAAAATATATTTTAAAATATTCTGAGTAAATAAGAGTTGCCCTCCTCATTGTGGCAGATCCTGCCTGTGATCCAGAGCCTGAGACCCTCCAGAGACTTTTCTGGAATAGGCGCCGTGTGCAACCAAAGGCCAATTTATAAACATACAATTTAAACAACAGGGATGAATCTCAAAAACTTTAAGCTGAGTGAGAAGAGGCACACAGAGAAGTCTACATATGAACTTCCGAAATACTAAAAACTAATCTGTAGCAGAAAAAAATTAGCACAGTGGTTGTCTCTGGAGGTGAGAGCCCAGATTGACTGGGAAAGGGAATAGGGAACTTTCTGGGGTGATAGGCATGTTGTCTCTGATAACATGGATTGCACAGAGATATGCATTTGTCAGAATTAAGTAAATGTACACCTTCACTGTATGTAAGTTTACAACAAATGAAAAAGCTGTAAGTAATTTTTAAACTTTAGCTAATGCTACTCATGCTTACTAGTAAGTATATAGGGGTGAAGTATACTAATGTCTTTACCTTGCTTTGAAATGCATTAAAAAAAAGAAGGTAGACAGAAGGATTTATGTGATGAAGTCAGAAAAGTAAAATATTAATGGTAGAATCCAGGTGGTGGGTATACAGATGTTTGCTATAAAATTATCCTAACTTTACACATCTGAAAATTTTTATAATAAAGTGTCAGGGGAAATACATCCCACTTCCCCACCCCCAGTTCCCCTGTGCTCTCCCTCCCTGTCTGCTTCTCTCTTTGCCATTTCCCTTTTCTGTTTTCCTCCATCTCACCAGGCCCTGTGCTTCTACTTGGCAGCAGTACGAGTATTCTGACCATGTTCCAGGAAGAGCAAAGAGCACTGGCCTGACTGTTAAAGAAATGTTATCCTGATGCTTGTTAAAATGGGAAGGGAGACTTCATTCAAAACTAGTGCAGTAGGAATCAAGACTATGGAAATAGGAGAGAGAAGGAGCTCAACTGTAAACACAACCATGACAAATGAGAATGGATAGCCAAGACGAAAAATTTCTGGGAGAAGACACTGGGAATATTCTGGCTAAACTGACCTAACAGGACTTTTAGAAAGACTTAAATATCAAATATGGGGGATAAAGAACTTGATCAGATATCAGGGTGGGGGATTCTCTCCGAGACAGGGGTAGCAGGCCTGGCAAGGACAGGACAAGACAGAGCCGAGGCCTAGGCCTAGTGACAGAGCAGGCATGGAGGAGCCAGACTAAAGCTTCATCAAGCCCATGTTATTAGACCCAGCTCCTCTGCAAGTGGCAGAAAGGGGGTGAGTTGAGGGCACCATGGAGAGGGCAGGCTCCTCTGAGTGGTCTCTGATTTTCTGCTTAAAAATCTGGTGTGTCACTTTTAATGGCATCCTGGGCAGGCACGAGCTTCCCTCTGCCACTCCATTGCAGATTGCTTTTTTTTTAAAAAAAAAAAAGGCATGCATGGTTGCACAAACACTGAGATGGAAGTCACAGCAGGAAGGAAAACTCTGACCACCCGGAGATGCCAAGGGGATTGCTCAATCTGACTCAGAGCTGTCTTGTTTTCCTCGTGGCCAGAGCTGAGGCCCAGAGAGAAGGCAGAACACCCAGCTGCACAAAACATCCACTGAGTCTCCAGAGGCCCTGCCCTCTCTCTGCCCCTCGCCATTGGCTGTGCTGCATCAGACACTGGAGCTGCTCTAGTAATTATGAACTTGTAAAAACAAATGGTAACATAATATAAAGAAGTAAGAGCTTGATGGATACTGAAAAAAAAGAACAACTTCCCAAAATAATCCTTTCTGCAAAACAGGTCATTTAATAGGCTACAGTACACAGACTTTCCATTGAGTATCACTGTTTTATAATCTAACATCCATCTTGAGCAGAGCCCTGTTTCACCAATGTTAGCACATGGCGTAGAAGGATGCCCATGTCTCCCTGAGTTGGACAGTGGGAAGGGGGAGAAGGAGGGAAAATGTGTGCAAGGCACTTCAGAGCCTATGTCCTAACCATTTCTGGAGAGAAAAAGAAGCAACAATTAGGTTAGCACAATGTCATCAGTAAAGAAGGTCTTGCCACCCCAACCCCCTTTGGGGGCATGCAGGTGTCTCTCACATCATTGATGTTTCTACCTTTCTCTCCCTCTCCCTTCCTCCCTGAAATCAATTATATACATATATTTTTTAAAGAAAAAATTGAGAGGCAAAACATTCAAAAGAAGAGGTTTCCTGAAAACAAGGTGGAGGGAGAGGTGAAAGGGAAGGAGATTGAAGCATCAAGGGAGCGCCCACTAATGAAGAAGGCAGCTCCCTGAACAGCTGCGGGGTCTGACTTACAGAGGGCTGGGTTCCTCACACAGGTGCCAAGCAGGGCTCTTTGCTTTTCCAGTTTTCTTTATGGCTGGTATCCATTGGCGCAGGCACAGAGCTGAGCTCTTTGGGAGTGCCTGAAGAGAAACTTTCAACTTGTCCAGAAGAGGCTTAAAAACAACCACAGAGCATTCCATCCACCTGAGACAGGCTGAGCCTGTCTCAACAACAACATGGGACAGCTCAAATCTGATACTGAGTGAAAGAAGCCAGGAAGACACATGTGCACTAACACCACGTGATTCCCTTTATGGGAAGTGCAAGAAGAGGCCCAAGCTCAAGTCTACAAGGACAGGTGTGTGCATTGCCAGGAGCCAGGGGTGGGCCTGGGGACTGACTGCAGAGGCACTAGGCAACTTTCTGGGGTAGTGGGAATGTTCCAGACCTTGATGGAGTTGGGATATTGTTGCATGCTAAAATTTCTCATCTGGACACAAAACGTGAGGTGTTTCAGTATATGTAATAGATACCTCATTCAACGTGATCTTAAACATCAAGTTTTCCAAGCCGTGGACAAAAAAAAAAACCAGTCAGTAATGTGGCTCCCCCAGGGGAGAAGCAAGAGTAGCAGCTGTGCGTCGACACACGTTCTCCCAGTTGCCTGCTCTCTTCACTGTCTCCTTCCCACCTTCCCCTGCACCATCCTGGTAGGGGTCTCCCTGCATCTTCTTCCCATGACCCCCACCCACAGTTTATTGTCCACACAGCTGCTGAGCTGAGATTCTGGATCAGATCCTTGCCCTGCTTAAACAGCCTCCAATTCCTTCTCGTTACCTCACCTCAGGACCTTTGCACTGGTTGGACTCAGTGCCTGAAGCTCTCTTTCTCTGGTCTCAGCAGGACTTTTTTGTCCTTCAGGTTTCAGCTTAAATGTCTGTCATCTCAAAGAGGTCTCCCTGAACTGTGTCCAGCATTAATCATCTCTCTCTTTCACCATTTTATTTTACTTCCAACAAAGTGCCTATCACACCCTGATCTTAATTATTGATCACTACCCCCCTACACACACACACACACACACACACACATACACACACACACCCTAAATTTGGGCCATGCAATACCACAACCACCAGTCATATTTGGCCATGGAAGCTAAGAATAAGAACAGTCTGAATCGATACCTGCTCTAAGTGTAAAATATGTACACAGGATTCCATAGACTTAGCACAGAGAGAAGAATGTAAAACATCTCATTAACAATTGTTTGCAAACCCTTGGTTGGTTGGAGCATCATCCCAATATGCCAAGGTTGTGGGTTCAATCCCTGGTTGTGGCACATACAAGAGAAAAACCAGTGAATGCATGGATGAGTGGGGTAGCAGACCGATCTCTCTCTCTCTCTCTCTCTCTCTCTCTCTCTCTCTCTCTCTCTCTCTCAAATTAATAAATACATTTAAAATATATACATATAGTTTGAAGAAAACAATTGCTTGCATATTTTTGAAATAACATTATGGATTTGTAAAAACTTATATAAACTGAGTCACTTCAAAATGGTGTCAAAGCTGCCATCCCCCCAAAAAAGTGCCTTGAAGATCTTACTCCTCAAACCTCTGAATACTAAAACTGGGCAAAATAACCCTTGAACTAACCCTACAGCAGTACTGTATTCCAAACAACTGTTTGCAAAACTAACAGATGTCAACCAAAGGTCATGGATGCCAATTCAATGCCAAAAGGAGTCCTCAATTTGGGGTGCAGGAATGGGAGAGAGATGCCATTTGGTTAAAAAAGCTGAATTGTGAAACAGCACAGCTGAGAAACAGCAGAATTTTTTTTCCCATCACCATTTATCCCCCTTTTCCCTCTGGTAATCATCATACTGCTTTCTGTGTCTATGAGTTGCTGGTTTTTGTTTGGTTTAGGATTTTTTTTTTCTTTCTTAATCCATTCACCTTTTTCACCCAGCTCCCCAACCCCTCATCCCCTCTGACAGCTGTCAGTCTGTTCTCTGTTTCCATTTTGTTAGTTTATTTTGTTCATTAGATTCCACAAATAAGTGAAATCATATAATACTTGTCCTTCTCTGACTGGCTTATTTCATTTAGCATAAAACTACCCTCCAGGTTCATCCAAGCTCTGTTTTGTGGCCGAGTAGTATCCCATTGTGTAAATGTACCACAACGTCTTTACTCACTCACCTACTGGGGGGCACTTGGGCTGCTTCCAAAGACTGGCTCTTGTAAATAACTATGCAATGAACACAGGGGTGCAGATATTCTTTTGAATTAATGGTTTGGGTTTCTTCAGATAAATTCCCAGGAGTTGAATTGCTGGGTCATAAGGCAGTTCCATTTTTTTATGTTGTGAGGTAACTCCACACTTCTTTCCACAGTGGCTGCATTCCCACCAACAGTTCTCCAGGTCTCCCTTTTCTCCACATTCTCGCTAACATTTATTGTTTGTTGATTTATTGATGATAACCATTCTGACTGGTGTGAGGTGATATCTCATTGTGGTTTGAATTTGTATTTCACTGATATTTAGAGACTTTAACCATCTTTTCATTTATCTATTGGCCATCTGTATGTCCTCGTTGGGAAAAATGTCTATTCAGGCCCTTTTCCAATTTTTTAATTGGATTGTATTTTTGGTGTTGAGTTTTATAAGTCCTTTGTACATTTTGAATATTTACCCTTTATCAGATGTATTGGCAAATATGTTCTCCCATTCAGTGGGTTGTCTTTTCATTTTGTTGATGGGTTTTTTTATTTTGCTGTGAAAAGATTTCTTAATTTGATGTAGTCCCATTTGTTTATTTTTTTCTTTTGTTTCCGTTGACCAAGGAGAGACAGTATATCAGAAAAAATATTGCTACAAGAAATATCCGAGATTTTACTGCCTATGTTTTATGATTCTGACATTTAAGCTTTTAATTCATTATGTTTATTCTTTTTTTCTAATATTTTATTGATTTTTAGAAAGAGAGAAAAGGAGAGGGGGAGAGAGAGAGAGAGAGAGAGAGAGAGAGAGAGAGAGAGAGAGAGAGAGAAACTGATGTGAAAGGGAAACATCAATCAGCTGCCTCCTGCATGCCCCTACCAGGGATTGATCCCACAACCCAGGCATGTGTCCTGACTGGGAATTGAACCAATAACCTTTAGGTGCACGGGACAACACCCTACCAACTAAGCCACGCTGGCCAGGGCGAAAGGTGGTCTAGTTTCATTTGCTGGCACATATCAGTCCAATTTTTTCAACACCATTTATTGAATAGACTATTTTTACCCCAGTGCGTGTTCTTGCCTCTTTCAAATATTAATTGACCATAAAAGTGTAGGTATATTTTGGGCTCTCTATTCTGTTCCATTTATCTTTTTTTATACCAGTACCATGCTGTTTTGATTACTATGGTTTTGTAGTATACTTTGCTATTAGGTAGCATGATTCCTCCAACTTTGTTCTTTATTCTCAAGATTGCTGTGATGACTTCGGATTTTTAATATATATATATCTATTTATTTATTTCAGAGAGAAAGGGAGAGGGAGATAAAAACATCAATGAAGAGAGAGAACCACTGATCAGCTGCCTCTTGCATGATGCCCTCTACTAGGGATCGAACCTGCAACCCGGGCATGTGCCCAGAACAGAAATTGAACTGTGACCTCCTAGCTCATAGGTCAACACTCAACCATTGAACCATACCTGACAGGCGACTTGGGATTTTTTGTGGTTCCATGTAAATTTTTGGAATATTTGTTCTAGTTCTGTGAAATATGCTATTGGTATCGTGATAGGAATTGCGTTGAATCTATAGATCACTCCGGGTAGTATGGACATTTTAGTGATGTTAATTTTTCCTATCCATAAACACAGTATTTACTCCCACTTATTTGTATCTTCCTCAATGTCTTTCTTCAGTGTCTTATAATTTTCTGAGTAGAGGTCTTTTACATCCTGGGTTAAATTATTTCTAGGTCAGCTTTGTGCAGTGTCATAGCCAATGAGGTTTATCCGAGGCTCAATTATTGCTAATTGAAAAAAAAATTATTTCTATGTTATATTTTTAAGCAACTGTGAAAGAGGCTGTTTTCTTAGCTTCCCTTTCTGATAGTGCCTAAAAATGCAACTGACTTCTGGATATTAATTTTGTATCCTGCTACTTTACTGAATTCATTTATCACTTCTAGTAGTTTTTGGTAGAATCTTTATGGTTCTCTGTATACAGTATCATGTCATCTGCAAATAATGACAGTTTACTTCTTCCTTTCCTATTTGGATATCTTCTTCTCATCTGAATGCTGGGGCTAGGACTTCCATTTATATGTTGAATAAGAGTTGTGAAAATGGATATCCCTGTCTTGTTCCTGATCTTAAGGGGAGTGCTTGTAGTTTTTGCCCATTGAGCATGATGTCAGCTGTGGGATTATCATATAAGGCCTTTATTATGCTGAGATGATTCCTCTATTCCCACTTTGCTGAATGTTTTTGTCATAAATGGGCGCTAGATTTTATCAAGTGCTTTTTCTGAATCTATTGATACAGTCATGTTGTTTTTATCCTTCATTTTGTTTATGTGGAGTATCAAGTTTATTGATTTTCGGATATTGTGCCAACCTTGCGTCTCTGGAGTAAATTGCACTTGATCCTGGTGTATGATCTCTTTAATGTATTGCTAGACCCAGTTTGCTAATATTTTGTTGAGAATTTTAGTATCCCTGCTCATCAGAGATATTGGCTTATAATTTTCTTTCTCTGTAGTGTCTTTATCTGGTTTTAGAATTAGGATAATGCTGGTTTCACAAAAAGAGCTTGGAAGTTGTCTCTCCTTTTGGAAATTTTTGGAATAATTTGAGAAGGCCAGGTGTTAGTTCTTCATTGAGTGTTTGTTAAAAGTCACCCGTGAAGCTATCTGGCCCAGGACTTTTGTTATTCAGGAGGATTTTTGTTTGTTTGTTTTGTTTTGTCTTGATTACTGCTTGCATTTCATTAGTTTTAATCTATCTATTCAGATTTTCCCATTCTTCCTGAATCAGTTTTGCAAGATTGTATGTTTCTGGGAATTAATCCATTTCATCCAGATTGTCTAACTTGTTGGCATATAGTTGTCCCTAATATTTCTTCACGATCTCCTTTATTTCTCTGGTGTCAGTTGTTACCTCTCCTCTTTCATTTCTGATTTTATTTGAGTCCTCTCTGTCTCCCACCTCCGCCCCCCCCCAACCCCCCCCCCTACCCCCGTTTCTGGTGAAACTAGTTTGGAACAGCAGGATTTTGAAACAACTTTGGAGAAGTGGCCCAGGTGAGGTGCCCTCAGTGTGAAGGTTCTGGTTCAGAGTTCAGCTGGGGAAACAGTCTTGCAAGGAAGCTGGCTCATATCATAATGCTCATCCCCTGTCCCTGACTGGCCCCTTGCTATGCAACTGAGGACTCCAAATCATCACAATTTGATTGGCCCAAATAGCCCTCCCTAGTCTCAAATTGGACAGGAAGGTCTCGGCTCTATTGGTTGAATTTCAATCCTAAGAACTCTCTTACCAGGGCTGCCTCACGATGCAGGAGCGTTGCACAGGCTGACCGCTCAGCCTGTGGCTTCTCTCTGGTAGGCACTGTGCAAAGGTCTCTGCCACAGTAGCTGCCAGACTCCAGTTTTACACTTGGGCCCAGTCAACCACAAGAAGCCGTCCTTGGCAGGTATTTTCTTTCCCGGAGTCAAAACAGGGAAGCAGAGGTCATAACTACAGAACTAAAAATCAGTTACATTTTTAGGACAAATATCACTGTTAGCTTATCTGCATCTGTAGAAATTCCTTCCTTAGTTTATTAACACCCATAGAAATGTCTTCCTTCATTTCAAGTAATTACCCCCTTCCCTTTATCATAAAGACCCCTCACCTTCACCTCTAATAGAAACCCTATGAGTTTCTGCCTAAAACAGTGCTTCTGGAATAGCTGCTCTTTTGAATCGCAAATCAACACTTGTCACTTCTCACCTTGTTGTGTTTTTTTTTTCAGTTAACATATCAAATATACATATTCTTAAACATCTGTATCTTTTTACATTCTTTAACGTGTCTACTAGGAAACAGAAAGCTACACATGGACTCGGTTACATCTCTATAGGGCAGCCCCTCTACAATGTCAAGTCCAAGGCTCACTTGCCCACTCGCCACCTGTTACACACAAACCCTAGACCTCCTGGCCTGGGAGAAGCCCAAGAAAGGTTTGTTGAATAAATTACATGAGTTGTGCAAAAGAGAACCCGAACTTTTTACCAATTAGAGGTTAAGTACTTCACTTATGTTCGGCAAAGATACTCCCCAGTACAAGGCGCAGATGGCATCTTCCCCAGCCTTTGAAATCGTGCCCGTGCTCTGGCATCCCCAGAATTCGACCCACTGCTCAGAGACCAAGACACCGATTTTTCCCTTTTAAAAGAATAAATTAGAATTCAGGGGTTACCAGCTGTTCAGGCCCAGAGAAGGGTGGCCAGAAGGAGCTGAGCTTCGGCGCACCCTGGAGGAGGCCTGGGAGGGTGGGGAGCGCCTGAAACGGGTGGGGGAGGAGCCCGGACGCACTTCGGCGGCTAAGCCCGGACTGGGCCGAGGGGCAGGGCTCAGGGTGCGGAGGAGCCGGGAGGAGGGGAAGGATTGTTAAGGCTGGAGATGGTGACAAAGAGGCGGCGAAGGGAGCTGGCTGGAGAAGCAGGACCCGAGGACTGAAACGGGGCAGGGCCCCGCGAGGGGCCGGTCTGCGGAAAGGGGGTGGGGATGTGACGGGCGGAAAAGGAGGAGCGGAGGGCGGGGCGGGGCGGGGCGCGCGGCATAAAAGCCTCTGCGGGCGGGCGGAGCTCGCGGCCTCTGGATCGCACCCTCCACACTCGTCTCTTCGCTCCGGTTCCTTCTCCTGGAGGCGACCATGGCCGGGCTCTCGCGCGCCCCGCTGTTCCTGCTGGCCCTCGCCCTGGCCCTGGCCCTGACCGCGAGCCCTGCGGCCGGCGCCACCGCGGGCAGGCCTCGCCTGGTGGGCGGCCTGGCGGAGGCGGACGTGAACGAGGAGGGCGTGCAGCAGGCGCTCAACTTCGCCCTGAGCGAGTACAACAAGGCGAGCAACGACGCCTTCCACAGCCGCGCCATGCGGGTGGTGCGCGCCCGCAAGCAGGTGCGTCCGGGGGTCGGGGGGCTGGGAGGATCGGGGGCCGAGGGGCCGGGAGGCCAGGGGGCCGGGGGGCAGGGCGAGGCGATGGGGAGGAGGGGCCTGCGCCCCGGGAGGCGTGGCCCTTGTGACGCGATCATCCCCGCCCCAAGCGCCCAACTCGCGGGATGGTCCCCCCGCCAGTGCTTCCCAGCCCCGCAGTGTCTCTGGTCTCTCATGTGACCCCCAGATCACGGGCTTCTTCCCCGGGCCTGGCAGCGGGTCGCGGGCACTCTGGGTCCGTGCCAGGCCTTCGCTTATGTTTCCAAGCACCAGCCCCGCAAGGACAGGGCTTGCGGTCCAGCCCCCTTATCTCCCCGCCAGGCCATGGGATTGGGGAGTCAGAGTGAGTTGGCAACTTAATGACCACAGGGAAGGAGAAACGGACTGCCTCCCGGCTGCCCTCCAGCTGTGCCACTGAATGGTTTTTTAACACTTTATTCCTCTTAACTTTTCATGTTGACATAACTTCAGACTTACACAGAACGTGCAAAACTGGAACATAGAATCCTGTAGATTCTTCCCCCAGATTAGTCCAAATGTTGCCCTGTTTGCTTTATCCACCTCGCTTCCTCCCCACATGTGTGTGGGGGTACATATATGCATTTATTTCTCTGAACCATTTGAGAGTATATATTTCCTAAAAACAGGCATTTTTAAAAAGAATCGCAGTACAATTTTGAACAGCAGGAATCAACCCTGAAACAATGACCTAATGCATAGACTTATCAGATGTCTGTGACAGGTCCACCGGGGTCCTCTGTAGCCAGGGACACTCCCGGTTCCTGCACTGCAGCCCCTTTCCCTGGAGCAGCCTGTCTGCCTGCCTCTTCACCTTGGCATTTGTGAAGGGTCCGGCCTAAATGTGCGGACTGGCACTCCGTTTGTGTGGCCCTGAGGTCTCCTCAGGATAAGATTTGGGACATGCAAACGAGGAATGTTCTCTGAGTCTCCTCTCAACAGGTGCCACTACACCAACCTCCCTGTCCTCTCTGTGCCATGGTATTGGGGGCCTCAGGCACTGAGTTGGGGCCCTCACTGCTCCCCTGGTCGCCTTGAGGGAACCGGCAAACACAGAGGAGTCCAGGATAAGCCTGCGGTATCCAGGCAGATGCTACGGCAGAGGGTCTTGCCTAAGAATCCAGAGCTGCTGAGAGGTCCTGGAGGAAAGGCCCCTGGACTGTTCTCCCCTCCAGAGGTCAGACCTCTGGAGGAGGCTCTGGGTTTTGAAGTCTCATTCCTCGCCCCCCCCTTAGATGGGTACCCCACCACCAGAAGCCAGAGGTAGTAAGTGTCTGCTGGGGTAGAGAGGGCCACCTGACCCTGCCTCTGCCAGCCCGCCCCGAGGTTCTGGCCCGATAGGGAGAGCAGTCAGCAGAGTCCAGAAGGGGATTGGAGGGCGCATCCGGAGGGGCTGCTGGGCCTTGAGCTTGTCCTTGGAGGAAGGCTGGAATTTAGACCACGGAAGAGCAGAGCATGGCCACGCAGCAGCAACGTGTGGTGCCTGCTGCAGGCCAGTGTTTAGAGCCTGTTCTCGCCTCCTCTGGAAACGTCAGGCGATGGGTCAAGATTGTTCACATTTCTCCTGCAGCCGTTGGCTGGCACTGGCCCCTTTGGATGGGACGTGCACTCCTTGCTCACCAGGTCCCTGTCAGCCAGCTCCTCTCCACTGTGACCCCAGCTTGGTGTCACAACTCATCGGCCCATGTGGGAAACTGACACCAAGGGCACATCTGTATTACTTTTGACAATGAAGATAAATTTAAAAAACAGAAAGAAAAGAGAGAAACCAACAGCAGAGGGATCGTAGGACTTGCTTGGCATCCATAGGACAGAGTCCAGAGCCTGGTCTGGGCCCCTCATCTCGAGGTTCTCCGAGTTCTCAGGAGGTGTGTCTGGGGGCTGCCTGTGTGAGCACAGGTTTCACATCTGTAATCTCAAATGTAAAAGACACAAGGTGTGAGTGTGTGGCACACTAGGAGTGTTCCCCTCACAAATAACTTGAAAGGCAGGCATCCCAGGGGCATCTTTTATTGGCGTGTGTGTGTGTGTGTGTGTGTGTGTGTGTGTGTGTGAAGCATCTGCTCAGTGGGGGCATGAATAACCTGGTTACATGGAATGAGAGTCTCGATGGGTTGGATATTACCAACTGGACTGTAAATTCAAGGGCATTGCCAGGTGAGTCTTCCTGAGGCAGAACCAGCCATGGCCCCGGCAGAGCTGTCATTTTGCCTTAGTCCCTGCCCTGGTTCCTGGTGCTGACACAGTAGATTTGCTGATACCCTGGCTAGTTCCCCAGAGCTGCACCTCCAGCTCCTGGCAGAATGCTGATGTCTGGCTCCACCTTCTATTTCCTGCCTCTCTTCTGCCAGGCTGTGTGACTCACCTTGTCAGAGCTGCTCCGTAAACAAGTTACAAGGAGGACCTGGGGCACATGGACTTGGGCAGCCTTCAGGAGGTGGCTGGGTGCCTCCTGGGTGTTGGCTCTGGCAACCCCTGAATGCTGGCCCAATGCACGCTAACAGGAAGGTACCTGCCTGGGTGACGTGGGCAGTTAATGAAAACCAATCCTTCCCTTTATGTGCACAGCTCGTGGCTGGACTGAACTACTTCTTGGATGTGGAAATCGGTCGAACCACATGTACCAAGTCCCAGCCGAACTTGGCCAGCTGTCCCTTCCACGTGCAGCCGCACCTGAGGAAGGTATGTACTTGATGTGGGCCAGGGGCCAGGCATACAGGGCAGAGGGGTGGGACTGTGCCCTGGGGATATGTCATGGGTGAGTGCTGTGGCCTGGGTGGAGTATGCAGGGGCTGGGGTGTGGGGGGGAAAGGGTGTCAGTTTGTGTGTACAGGTTCCTAATTTGAATTTATAAGGGCATTTGAGCTGGGACCTTCGAGCACCATATGCTCTGGGGGATTGTTGCCTGCTGACTGAAGGAAGCAGCAGGGTGGAGATAGGGCCCTTTAATCCCAGACTCAGCCACTGGAACAGATTAGAGGGAATTAGAGGCCTGTACGGGAGAAGCCCACCCATGCTGCCCTGCTCACTGAACACCAGACTCTACCCTGGGCTTGACTGGTTCTTGGGATGTCTCAGCCGCTGAGGAGACCTCCATCTGCTTGTCACCTCCCCAAACACACTGACTCTTTCAGGAGGTTTTCCTGTCTCAGTGCCAGCCCACTGGAGGTGGAGGGAACTTGGCTGATACCCTGCACCCTCTGGGGCTGTGTGGCTTTGCTGGGCTGCTCCTTAAAGGGCCATGCTGGGGCTACACCAGTGTGGATTCCTGCAGGGACAGGGGGATGAAGATCTCCTGGACTTGGAGTAATGGGAGGGGTCACCAAGAGGCCCCGGGTGAGCCCTGCATCGTTATCGGGGGCTCCGCAGGGTTGGGGGCGGAGAGGTCCACCAAACAACCACAGCTCCTCACCTGCACTTCGAAGACATCGTGCTGGGCCGTTTCCTTTTTGACTGAAGCCCTAACTGACCGTCTCTCTCGTTTCCCTTTTGCAGGAAGCACTCTGCTCTTTCCAGGTATACACTGTCCCCTGGTTGGGCAAGACCTCCTTGGTGAAGTCCAGCTGCCAGGACGCATAGAGGAGATGTGACAGGTGGGGCCGTGCAGGCTGCCTCTCGCTTGCATGCCCCCTCCCTGGTGGGGCCCCCTCAGTGTGCTGGCCTCAGGAGACAAACGGAGAAGCTTCCTGAGCATTGTGTGACCAGCTAAGTGGCTCTCCCTTGCTTCTTTCTGTAGAGTGCTTTCTAGATGCACCTGTGCCCGGTGCACGTTCTGCTTCCACTTTACGCAATAAAACGTGACATCAGCTACTCCTGGAGTTGTTCACTGTCTCGGGGATGTGCCTGAGGGTTTACAGTTACTTTACCAGGAGCTCCTGTCCCACTGGCTCTGGAGGGCAGACGAGAGGAGAGAGCTGACACGGACGGCCATAGTGGGCATGTTAGGGAATATGCTGCCCCATTTCGGATGACTGAGTCATGGAGGGGGACTGGGAACCAAGGAAAAAAGGAAGGGACCTATGCTGCTGGCTCTGGAGACTTGGCTGCTGCGGTAGAAAAGAAGTCAGACTGTGAGCAGGGCTGACAGTAGGGAGGAGTCAGACGGATCCCATAGCCCAGGGCCTCCCTCAGCAAGTTTCTGCAGAGCCATAGGTTTCCGCCAGATGTGCTGAGCTGATCAGACCCCAGGGGCTGATGTGATGGCTGAGGTTCCCTAGAAACTAAAGCGATAATTCACCTGCTTCTCTTCATTATACTCTGCCATGTGGACAAACACACATAAAACTGAGAAACAGTTCATGAAATGGTAGCCGAACAAGGAGCAGACACTTCTAAGCAGTCCTGCTCTCTCGCCCTTGGTATTGGGTCTCTGGAGGCAAGGGGGGTAGGGGGGGGACGGGGGAGGGTGTCAGATGATACAGAGGTTTCTGTAGCCCAGGGTCAGACACACTCAGGGTCATTCAGATGTCAGTCAGAGCCCTGGCTGGTGTGCTCAGTGGTTGGAGCATCACCCTGTGCACTGAAAAGTTGCAGGTTCCATTCCTGGTCAAGGGCATGTACCTGGGTTGCAGGTTTGATCCCCGGCCCCAGTCAGGCGTTTGTGGGAGGCAAACGATCAATGTGTCTCTCTCACATCGATGTCTCTCTCTTTTTCTCCTCCCCCCCCCCCCCAATTTCCTTCCTTCCACCCTCTCTAAAAATCAATAGAAAAATATCCTCAGATGCCCCGCTGGTGTGGCTCAGCAGTTGAGCATTGACCCACGAACCCAAGAGATCGAAGGTTCATTTCCTGGTCAGGGCACGTGCCTGGGTTGCAGGCTCGATCCCCAGTAGGAGGCTTGCAGGAGACAGCCGATCAATGTTTGTATCTTCTCTTCCCCTCTCTTTTTCTCTAAAATCAATAAAAACATATTTTTAAAAAATATCCTCAGGTGAGGATTAATAACAACAACAAAATGGCAGCTGGAGTCCCCGTAATCTCGGGCATGGCTGCCTATGCCATCACCGGAGGAGCATTAAAAAATACTGATGCCTGCTTTGCACTCTGAGAACTTCTGACTTAATTGGTCAGGGCTGGGGCCTAGGCACTGGGATTTTGATATCCAACTGATTCCCAAAGGAACTGCAGACCTGTAACTCAATTAGACTTCCTCTAAAAGTCCTAAGACTCCTACAACATCTGGGATTTGCCGGTGCAGGGTTCTCTCTCAAAGTCACGTCTGCGTCCACCTGTGCTTTTGGTTCCAGGGATCTAAGCAGATATATAACCCAGCCCCCTTCTTGATTCCCAGTAAATGAAAAGCAACCAAACAAAACCACATGAAAGCATCCTTCAACCAAAGCCTTCGTTAGGTCAGTGAACTTTTGTGGAGATTTCAGGCAGCCGAAGAGATTTCTGTGGAGCAATAACCTTGACATGTTCAACCCTTTCCTTGAAACGCTCTTGACCTCACTCCTAGAGGTAGTTGCCCTTTGACCTTCACCTCTTGGAGTCACTGATCTTCTTTCTCTCACTGGTCCCTCTTTCCTTGGCATTTCTCATTTGTCCACCCTATCCCTTTCCTGGAGATCCCTTCCCAAGGATCCCTCAGCTGGAGGTCCAAACCTCCCTCTATGGGGTAGAGCAGCTCAGTTCTTTCAAGACTTAATCACACCCATCAAGGTGCTCAGAATATAAAGGGTTTCCTAGTCAACAGGCTCTACCCTCTTAGTGAAGTCTTTTCATCATGAATAACAACATGTTTTCCTTTTACCCAAATGCCTGCGGAATCCAGGCCCCTGAGGAACAGATTAAGTGAAATGCCTGCCTGTCCTGGCCACTCCACTCCGGCCACTCCACTCGCCATGCCATGAATGGTGCTGAGGCAGTGGTTCCCAAACTTATTTGGCCTACCGCCCCCTTTCCAGAAAAAATATTACTCAGCGCCCCCTGGAAATTAATTTTTTTAAAATTTTAATAGCAATTAAACAGAAAGATATATGTATTAATGTTTCTACCTTTTTCGTAAAATATAGTAAAGAAAGGTGTAAATTAGAAACATTGAAGTTTGAAATTATGAAACTATTCATTGAACTCAGAATAGAAAGGTAATACAAAAAAAGTTAAAACAAATGCACCTGTGGCCATCACCGCCCCCCCCCCCGCCCCCATCGCTGCAGCTCCCACCAGGGGGCGGTAGCGCCCACTTTGGGAATCACTGTGCTGAGGAATGCTAGCCCTTGGCCCTGTGTGTTTCTCACATCGCATTGTCCAGGTGGAGGTAACACCACGGGAAAATCCCTGAGGTTGGTGCTGACTCACAAATCAGAGTGTGCCCGCCTTCTGATGATAAAAACAAGATAATAATTCATGTGACGACGCCCCCTCCCTTCCTCCCATTCCACCTGTTTTCAGGGAAGGTGACTTTACCTTTTGAACCATGGCTTGGAGAAGGTGACCTTGGCTAAGCCAGTCAGGACAGCCCATCACCCTAAGCCTTAGTGATTGGATTAAAGATGTCACATCACCCAAGGCTGGCCACCTGGGGCGGCAGGGGGGAGTGGGGGAGACTCCTGAGGCTTAATGTGGGACTTTGTTTAAGCTACTTAAAAAGCAGGCTCTCTCTAGCTGGGTTTGAATAGAAGATAGGAAGTCTAAAGCAGTTGTTTGAGAATAAAGCCAGATTACAGGGTGCACAATAACAGTGAAGAGACAAAAAAAGAGCAGGTCACTGACATCACCTGAGTCCCGGCACTGAGCAGCGCCTGCTGTCTGGACCTCTTAGTTACGTGAGAGGGTCATCCCCTCTCTTCAGCCTGCTGGGGTGGTTTTTCTGGCGCTTGTGCTCTTATGAGTCCTAACTGATAGAGAGGAGCAGGAACTGAATTCACCATTCATTCCTCAGAGCTGATTGCCCCACGGCATTTCTTGACTGTTTCAAAGGGGTCACCTTGCAGACAGTGCAGGTCCTGCCCTCTGGACCTGGGAGGCATTAGACCACTGATAAAAGGGCCACGTCACAGGCTGAACTGGGCCTAACAAACAGAGGCATGACTCAGACTATTAAGAGCCACTACTATAAAGAAAATTTTTTTAAATTTATTGCTCTTACAGAGAGAGAAAGGAAGGTAATAGGTTTGATCAAATAATTGAATCAGTGCCCCCTCCCCTGGGAACTGAGCTTTAGGCCACTTCACGATGGACATTCCACTTGCTGAGACCACATTCCACTTGCTAAGACCATTATCTCTCCCCTCCGGAGTTTCCCAGAATCCTCACCTGCACAGAGAATTCTCCGCCCAGAAAAAGCCTGCCTAGAGTCCTTTAAAAACCTCTGACTCTCTGTTTTTGGGGGCTGGCACCATTTGGGGGCTCTGCCCATCTGGTATCCAGGTGACCTAATAAATTTCATAAGTCTTTACCCCTTTGTCCTCGGGCGTTCCTCCTTCGGTGACCCTAACAGGAGGGAGGGAGAGAAGGAGGGAAGGAGAGAGAGAGAGAGAGCGCGCGCGAGAGAGAGATTTGTTCCACTCATTTATGCAGGGTGGTTCTGGGTGGGTTTATTTGAAATTCTGCTGACTACACCAAGCAAATGTCAATGTGGAAAAGGTCCAAATCTGTAAATCATTTATTTATAAAAGTTCATTTGAAGCAAACAAAGGATAAGCCTAGAAGCAAGATCTCCACAGACTTAGACAGATGCTTCCCAGAATGGCAGTTTGAAGTTTCTTTTATGAATTTGGAATTAAGGATGGAATGTAAGGGAGATTACATAAAGGTGGAAAAAACCAAGGCATGGATTGAATGGCAAGATAGTTAACAAGATTATGTGCACTCTCCAGGATGGTAACTCTTCAGAGTGGCCTAAAAAAGAGGCACCCTGCACAGAAATGCTCAAATCAGTTGAACACATTAGAATGCTTACATTTTCTTTTCTCCGAGAGGAAGATTGGGGAGCTTGAGAGGCTGCCCAGGATATCAGCTCCCTAAGAGGAAGGTCTTAACCAAGGGGGCAGTGGCTGAGTGGATCATATGAGTAAGTGTCAGCCTACAGGACTGTGTGTGGGCTGGCCTCTTACCTTGCATGCTTGTTGCTGCCTGAAATTCCTTTAACACAAGATGAAACCTCTTGTTCCACAATCTACACTAATAAAAGACAAACATGCAAATTGACCGTACCTTCGCTATGCCTTAAGTCACGCCCACCAGCCAATCAGAGCGACTATATGCAAATTAACCCAACCAAGGTGACGATCGGCAGCCACGGAGCTGGAGCAAGCAGGAGGCTTGGTTGCTCCAGTGATGGAGGAAGCCAAGCTTCCTGCCCGCCCTGGCCAGCTCTGAGCTCCACTCAAGGCTACAAAGTTTCAATTATAGAAGGTAAATAAATCCCAGAATAAAAAAAAGAAAAAAGAAAAAAGGAGAGGCTGGGAGCTTCCATCACCAGGGGGCTTGGCCAGCCTGAAAACGTCCCTCAGGCCCTCAACCAGACTGGCCAGGCACCCCAGTGGGAACCCCCCTCCCTAAAGAGGGTGTGGCCAGCCTGAAAACAGCCATCAGCCCCTCACCCAGGCTGGCCAGGCATCCCAGTGGGGACCCCCACCCTGAAGGGGGTGTGACCAGCCTGCAAACACCCATCAGCCCCTCACCCAGGCTGGACAGGCACCCCAGCGGGACCCCCACCCTGATCCAGGACACACTTCAGGGCAAACCAGCCGGCCCCCACCCATGCACCAGGCCTCTATCCTATATAATAAAAGGGTAATGTGCAAATTGACCCTAACAGCAGAACGACCGGAAATGACTGGTCACTATGACACACACTGACCAC